TTTGTTGCATTGATACAAAACAAGAACTAGGTTTTTTTGTTGCGATTTCTCGTTGATGGGGCAAATTTTTAGGGTTTTGTGGAATAAGATTGAGAAGATTTTGATCGATTTCATATTCTGTGAAATTACGATTGAGAAAAAATCTAGATCAAAAAAAAGTTTAGGGGAGAAAGAAGAAGCAAATCACGTAGTTAATGATAATATTTTCAAAATTGTCATCGCCTACATCAATTTTTTATACTGTTTTTATGTTTTATTCATAGCCATTAATTATCTGAGATGAGTGGTTAAAATTTGGTCAATTTTTCTCATTGTCTCAGAACTCTCCATATATATATATATATATATATATATATATATATATATATATATATATATATATATATATATATTATAATATATATATATCTATCTATATATACTATTAACCAAATGATTACTGCAATTTAAGAACATATACTAATCAGCAAGTGTAGTTTACCCTTAAAGCATATTGTTAAAATTACATAAATCATGTATTTTTTTTAAAATAACTTGACTAATGTTATTATTGTTTGAGTCCAATTGTCTCTTTAGATTTAGTTACATTTTAAACCTCGTTATCAATCCTATTTGAACCAAACTATTTCTCTATGTATATATATGGTAAGAAAGAATTTGAAATGACATAAAAATGTAAAGGGCAGGGAAGTAAGAAGGTACATGATCTTCCGTTTGATATGGTTGAATGTGATTGTAAAAGTTTCCAAATAAATCATGCTCCAAAAATCCTAAGATACCCCCATCCCTAACATCCACACACGTGGTATTAGCATTTTTTTATCAATTTTTTTTAGACTTTCATCTTTCATTTTTTTTTAATCAATTCTTGTTTTATTTTTAAAACCTAAAAAATGGTTGCCTTTCGCTTCATTTTATTTTTTTATTTCCTAAATATATTTTATATAAATATGATACTTTTTTATAAGAAATTAAAAACCATAAATTTTAATTAATATTTTAGTGTGTGTCTATATATATAATTTAATAAAAACTAAAAGAAAAAAGAAAAAATTGTTGTTGACCAATCAAAGAAGGAGAAGAGTGAGAGAAAGCTACCACATGCGGGGAAACTTTTCACATAAACCGCATCGAGGGTGTGGTGTTTCTGGATACGGTTTATTGTCCTAGTCAGCAGACCGCATAATGAAAATTAAGTATACAGTGTAACCTTATTTTTATATCCCCTTCCTTTCCAAAAAACATACAACTTATCTTTTTATTTCTCCTCCATCTCTTCGTTCATCCATCTTTTTCTTCAAATCATATATCTAATTCTCTTATCTTGGTTTCTAGTCGTTTTCTTTGATAAACGAGATTGATTCAATTGTTGTAAAGCTGCAATGAAACAGATTTTTAGCACGAAGAAGGCGAATGTGGTGGCCTTGGGTTGATAATTATAAGAAAATACCGGACAAATATGATATTTTGATTTAAAAAAGACACAGATTTTTTTTAAATCGATTTTCGTTATTATTCAAATGTGAATTAACCATTAATCCATATTTTGTAGCTCCCGAGTTATCTACATGTGAAGAACAAGAACTAGTGTTTGGGTTTATATTATATTTTGAGTTACTAAGACATGAATGGTTAATATAGCTAATATTTATACAAGCTATTTGGTCATTCGTATATGATTGATAGAATGTCATTCATTTGTGAATGACAAATAAGGTTCACTTATGAATATATGAATATGAATATATCAATGATTGTCGTTAATTAATCAATTTCTAGATCTAATATCAGGTGTTAGGGTACATTAGTCATTTGCATGTAAATAACCAACGAGTTGCGACACAAAAACATTTAAAATCTTATTTTGTACAAAATATATACGATATATATATATATATATATATATATATATATATATATATATATATATATATATAGAGAGAGAGAGAGAGAGAGAGATTTTGGTATGTTTATTCTTTTTTTTATGTGTAACTTTTCAATTTTTTAACCAAAACTTTCATTTTAAAATTAAAGGAAACCATGTCACTCATTCATGAAAGTAAATATTTAATTGTTTCGAAAACATAAATAAGAGTATTAACATTATAATGCGAAACATTTTGGAAACATAACAACATATGCAATGCAATCATGTCGAGCTCTTCTCGTATTGCCAAAAAGATATGCATCATTTAAACTTAAAACCATAAGCACAAAACTTAGTAAATTTCCCAAGATACCACATACCAATATGTATCTCACCCAACATACATAACGAGCCCCATCCATTGGCCTCGCCCAATAATATATGTGGTCTCACCCAACGAGCCTCGCCCACGGGTCACACCCAAAAAAACATAATAACGAGCCATGCCAAACATACGTATAAACATTCATGGAAGAGTCACAAAGACAACAAACATCTAAATAGTATAGTGAGAATACTCACCTGAACTACTCAACAGAAGCTCAACAACAACCTCAATAACAGAACAACTAACCCAAGCTATCTAATTCCAAACTGAGATCATTCCTTAGTCAAATACTCAATTATACCAAAGTTTGATCAAAAGTCAAACTTGACTAAAAAGTCAACGATCAACGGTCAACCAACCATCGACCACCATGCCGCGGCTAATCCCCTTGGTCGCACCGTGGTCACTAGAGGACAAAACATATGTGGGGTACGCAGACCACTACGCCATGGTGAACGCCCATAACAACTTATTCCATTAAGCTCTTAAACACCAAGTCCAGATCCTTAAAGCTCATATCTAATACTTCTAATGATTATCATGGATAAAGTTTCCAACTTTATCCATTCAAAAGTCTCACAACATTGAGATCTTTAACCCTAACTCTTAAAGGGACCCGAAATATCACCAAGACCATGCATACCACTTAAATGAAGATGAAGTCCATATCTTAGCACCATAATGGGTCTAGAATACTTAAAGATTTGACCTTTAACCGGGGAGTTTTCCAAACTCCAAATCAAATCCATCAAAAGGGCCAAAACAAGCATATATAGCAGTAAAACTCCAAAAAATCTTAGATCCAAAGATGAAACACAATAAAGCATGGATCTTTATAACTTACAAGGGTCCAAAAAAGTAGAGATGGTAGAGACCCACAAGCTACAAGCTTCCAAGCATAGCCTTTCTAGCTTTCTTTACCAAAACACCTAAATATACACCAAAAGAGGTTCAAGGAGAGAGGATGAGCTCAAACTATGAAAAGGAAGGCTAGGGTTTGCTCCCAAGGAGCTCTTGATGTGATTGAGGCAGTAAAATGACCTACATGGAGGTAAGGTCCTTAAATATAGGGAAACCCCTAATTTTATGGGCTTGGGCTGCACAACTCACCATGTCGTGGTGACAGGCTTTTGTTGATTCCTTCCAACTTTAAACGATCATAACTACCTCGTTTTCAAATCTATTTTTGGTGATCCTTACATGCATGAAAAGGTATTAACAAGCCATACAATTCTATCTAATAACTTATTACTTAATGTATATTGAACTTAATTCATTAAGACAAGCAAAGAGTCCCAAAATATCAATTTTTTTCCATTTTATCCTTTTTGGCTCCAAAACACAATTCAAGGGCTTATTTTGGCTCCAAAACACAATCCATTAATACATGCAAAGAGTCCCATGTTACCCTTTTTTGGCTCCAAAACACAATTCAGTGATCTTCAACCAGCTTCCATTGAAACTGACGACCATAAGGAAAACCACCACCACCATGTACGGTTCCTGATCCACTTCCACCGTAACATCAAGACGAAAACTATCATAATACGCAGTTCCCGATATGGTTTCTCCAGTGAAAAGCTCTGACATATAGTGGGAGAAGCTGAGGCAGAAGGCATAGGTGAAGGATGATAAAGATGATAGGGTGAGAAAAAGTCTAATGTCGGCACCACTTATGTTCATACAGGACGGTACTCGGTACTCTAAAATCATGAAATTTAAGATTGTGTATGGTGGGTATAGATGCTCGTACCAAAAACCAATATCATACCTGGTGGTACAAGTACCATTAACTTTAGTTCGATCCAGTATTGTTTTTTCACCAATTTCGATACCAAATATTCTCGATTAGTATACTTGAGGAATGATCTTCATTTTATGAGGTTTAATTATTGGAAAAAAGAGATGTAGGTAAGAGGTAAATAAAGGGGGGGGGGGGTGGAGGAATGGTGGGTGTTGGTGGTACTGAGGAGATGTAGGAGTTGTGAAGAAAGGGGATGCATGTGTAAGAGAAGTGAGAAGGGGAGTGTATGTGGTGGATGACACTGGCAACGGTGTGATGGCTGAGATGGTGTTGACGGTCATGTTTCTCACAGGGGTGTAGTGATGGATTTGATTTTTATGTGGTTGGTGGATGGTGACTTATGGTTGCCGGTTCTTTTAGCAATGAAGGTGTTGGTGGTGAGAGTGGGTCTCACATATCTATTATGTAATTAATTTTTTAAGTAATAAATAATAAACAACTAAAAAAACTGAAAAGATAAATATAAAGAACAATATAGTTTTTTTTTATATATATTTTCAAGGCCTAAAACTCAACAAAATCATACTACAAGAACTATACAAAAAAATGTTAGAAACCAAAAACATAATTTTGACCAAACAACATGAACAATTTCAATAATTTACCCTTGCTAAATAATTATAATCATCTTATTATTATTTGAATCTATTGTTACTCTCAACCTTTTTCTCAATCTTTTCATCCAAACTAATTATGGTACGAAAGAAATCAAAGAATCCGAAATGGCATAAAAATGAAAAGATTAGAGAGAAGTCACAAGGCACAAGATTTTCCATTCGATTGTTCAACTTCAATATGATTCTAAATCTTTCCAAGTAAATCATCATACCCATAAACCTAATAAGACGCCCCTCCTTCTCTACCATCTAGACACGTGGCATCAGCCACTCCATCTTTCCTTTTTTTACCCGGATTTTCTTATTTTTCTATCCCCCTCTTCTCCAAGCAACATACAATACAACTCATCTCTCTCTTTCTACCCCCCTCATCTCTTCGTTCATCCATCTTATATATCTAATTCTCGTAATCTTGGTTTCTAATCGTTTTCTCTGATAAACGAGATTGATTCACTTGCTTTAAACTTGCAATGAAACAGAGTATCAACGGCGGTGGAGGCGGAGGCGTGTGTGGTGGCCGTGGGTTGAAAATTCCGAGTGAAGATGAGGTTGAAGTTATTAGTATTTTGATCAATCTACCGAATCTAATTTCGAAATCGGAGTTGCTTAGTAAATACAGTTTTACTTGGGGTCGAAAGAAGAAAAGATCTGTGTTGGTTTCGAAATCGGAATCGTCTCCGTCAACTCACCGTCAAATTAATGAGAGTAGACCGGAGAAAGTAAAGGCGGCCGAAGATGATAAAAGCCCTTCAACACCGCTGTGTTTCTTACCTAGTGGCAGCGGAAGCGACGGTGCTGCTGATAAGCCTAAACAACACTCATCTTCGAAGAAACATTCAAAGAGAAAGGTACTTACAGCGTTTTTTAGTTGAAATTCAATTAATTATCAGATGATTTTGTTAGGGTTCTTACATATTAGATTTATGGGTAACGATTCATCTTCAATCTTACATTTGGGTAACGATTTACATCTATATTTTCAACTTCTTGCTTCTTTTGTATGATTGTTTAATCTAATTTTTGTTTTGGGTAACGATTCATCTTCAATTTTACATTTGGGTGTTGAAGTTCCTTTCATATTCATTGGTGGTTGAGATGGAATTGTTGTAAATCATACAAATCTTGAACGATATTTTTGATTTGGTGAGAACATTGAAATTTGGGATTCTGTTCGATTGAAAATCTGACATCTGGATAATCGTCGATTTTTACATTATATTTTTTTTGTGTTCTTTATCCTAAGATTCAGTTTTCTTAAACTTTTTTCCATGATTTTTACAGGCAACGAATGATTTGATTGAGAGATATCACGAAATGCAACAAGAAAGAGAAATCCTCGTCAAGGTATGCAGTAATTTCATAATTTCGACTTTGACTTTGTTCTTGAAATCTTTTTTCATCTTAATTGATTTAATTAATTGATTAAACAGAAAATAAAAGCCATGGAGAATCATCGTGAAGAACTCATCGCTCAAAATCTGGAGTTGAAACGAAAAAGACAAGAGGTAATTAATAATGATAATAAGAATAATATTACCCTCTTGAATTAATTTAATTAAAACCCATTGTTTTCTGATTAAATTATTTAATTAAATTTGCAGATAAATACGAGAAACATGGATGATCTTCACTTATGGAATAACTCTATGAGAATGAATCGTGATCAACAACATTATCATCGTCAACAACAACAACAAATTACCATGTATGCCCCTCCTCCGGCGGCGGCGCCGTCACAATTACAGCAGCATTGTCAACAATTTATGGTGGATCCGAACAACGGCAAAGTGGTGGCGGTGAGTTGCTCCGGTAACAGTAACAATGGTGGTAGATTTGATTTCTTCAATCAGATTGATGCACGTGTCAAGATTCAAGGGGAGACTTTTGATTTCATGACTCCATCTCAGCCGTTGGATCAGAGTAAATATTTAGCGATGGATAATGATCAAAGGGTCAGAAGTGCAGCAGAGGCAAGAAGGTATCGGTTTATGAGGATGAAAGAGAACAAGAACTCTTCGTCGGCGATGAAATTGTCGAGAGGGTGTAGATGACGATGGCCGGCGATTAGGTTTTTTTCTTGACAGGGGTGATTTGGTAATTTCACTTAAAGAGATGGCTAAATTACAATAGATTATTTTTGCCTATTTTTCGGGTCATGGGTAGAGTTGTAATGATCCATTCACAACTAGTTTAAAGATTATTATTGAATTTTAAAATTCTATGTGCCTATTTCATTTAAATCTGGGCTTCATTTAGTTTATAAGTTTTGTTTAAATGTCATATTTTATATTTGAAGTCTATAAAAATATATATTTTAAAATGGAGCAAGAATTATAAAAAAAATATTTTCGTGATGCTGTCAAGTATTTTGGTTTTTTAATCAAGCAGTATTTCTTTCTCTTCACCTTAATATTCCTACAAAATCATTTATATTTTCTCTTCAACTTTATATATTTTGTAGGAACAGAGTGTGAGTGTTTATTGGTTAGGGGTGATTGGGTGATTGGGTAAGTTCATCTCAGAGATGTCTATACGATTATATTGACCCATCCGTGAACTAGTTAAAAAAAATATATTTAAATTTAAAATTCTGTTTCTGCATGTTATTTAAATTTTAAGGATGTGGCTCATTCTATTTAAAGTTTTATAAAAAATTAATCTAGTTTAATATTTTACTTTTGACGTCAATACAATATATTTCAAAACGGAAAGAGAATTATAAGACTTCAGGTATGGTGGCCGGTGGCCACGAACAAGGTCGTGGTCTCGGTGGCCATAACAACGACCGTGCACACCATCCCGGTGGCTCGTGGTCGTGGCTCTTCGTGCTTCGGACAACGATTTCAAACGCCCAATCAATTCATTTCTTCCTTTAAATCTCGTTTGACCTCCTAACGGCTACTTTCAATTTATTTTTCCTCCTTCAATATTTACCTATAAATATTACCACCCATCTTCTTAATTTTCACACATTTCTTCTTCCTTTAGTCATCATACATTTTTGTTGTTTGATCTTTTAAAAACCATGCCTCCCAAAAATAAGAAATGGTCAGAAAATGAAGAAGAGAAATTAGCACAAGCATGGGTGACGGTTTCGGAAGAAGGCGCTAGTCAAACGTCTAGTTCTTTTTGGAGAAATATTGAAAAGTGTTTTCCATGGTTTAGTGGGTTGTGCAATTCGAAATGTTGATGAAATATGCTCGAAGTGGCGCGATATGAGGGTCAAATGTTCTGAGTTCAATGAAATTTACAACTTTGTTATAAACAACGTATACGAAGCCGATGTCAATCCGGTTAATGTGGTCATTGAGCAATATGAAAACACAAATCATAAACGTTTTGGACATGCCAAAGCTTGACAAAAGTTGAAGAATTCCCCAAAATAGAATAACATTGCTTAAAACAAAAATCAGAAGTTTGGTATTTTTAGGTTTTTAGTTTTTAATGTTTTTTTTTATTTTTTTATTTTAATTAATGTAATTTTTATTTTTAATGTAATTTTTTTTATTTTAATTAATGTAGTTTTTATTTAATGTAATTTGGTATTTTAAATTAATGAAAAACTAGTATTTAAAAAAAATGTATCATTTTTTTGTATTTTTTATTTAAATTTAATTAAAAAATGAGGGGGAGTGATGTGTTTAGTGGTAGGTATCCCATATGTTTAGTGAAGGTTACTGGTGATGATGTAACACCCACCACTATAGTGGTTAGTGGTGGGTATAACGGATGACCTAAGGAAAATATTAATATGTATGTTGTCACGTATTTTGTTTCTAAACACTATAAAACATTGTTTCTTTCTCTTCCCCCTTCGTATTTAAAAAAACTCATTTATTTTTTCTCTTCTAACATTATATTCTTAGAAGCGGATAGTTAAGGTTTTTATTGATTATACCTGATTTTGTAATTTGAGCATATAGTTAGGTGCATTTATGCACCTATTTTGCATGTTTAATTTCGTCATTTCATTGTATTTTACTTCTTAATTCTTGCATTTAGTTAATATTTGGAGGCACTTGTATGTTTTATTCAGATCACATTTTTTGAATTATTATGTAGGCATAGCGGGTATGCGGAGCAAGAAGCTATGGAGGCGAGTATGGAGCATGGAGCATGAAGAAAAGATGAATCAAACGTGTCACGGAAGAAAACATGAAAATATAACCCAAGTTGTTGCACTTCATCATAGTAAATGACTACGTTTAAAACGCGATCCGCATTACACCGACATGAGTTGTGCTTGTCATTTTCATCATATATTTTAGGAACACGACTTAGGTTGAAGATAAAATGAAAGTGGAATGAAGATCAAAGGTCACTGAAGTTTCAGTAATAAACGCAGTCTGCTGCAAAAACTCATGGGCATTAGTTCAAAAGGCACAATCAACGCATGACCGTGTGTTTCACCCAAGAGCGGTTACTATTTGTGCTAAAATGGATAAATTTGGTTCATTTCACATATAGACGATTTTTGGAGCTTGTGTGAGCGATTTTGGGAGATTTTTTGAAGGCGTCTAATCATTGCAAACATTAGTAATTTCAATTTGTAAGAGCATTAAACATTTCCAATTGCATCTCTTTGTTTGATTTGTTTTTAGTCATGTGTGGCTAAAACCCCTAGTTTCTAGTTATTGTTCAAAACATGTTGATCGTTTGACTTGAAGCATATGACTTGATGTTTGGTTTATGATTCTATTCTAGTGCTAATGTTTCTGTTTTTAACTAGAATCCTTGAATTTGATTTGTGTTTGATTGGCTACTTATATGAATTGAATTCATGTGTAGTTAATTAACTTTTAGGACACCTAATCATTCTATAAAGTTAATGTCAGGTAACAAGCAATAAGTTTTTTTTATTGTAGAACATATATCAAATGTTTTCACACTTTCGGGCATATAAGAAGAAATGAACATTATTGGAAAGCTTGTACCAAACTTAATGTGGTTTTTCAATACAATCTAAGAGTGGTGTTTAGGTTGAATTAGTGAAGTTAGGTTTAATCAAAGAATGTGTTTTGATTGGATAATTTGGCAACCGAGAGGTATTAGAGCGTGTTAGTATCTTTCAGTACCAACATATAATAGTGATCATGAATTGCATCAAGGCATAATCAGGATAAATGACAACATTGAAAACTAGAACTATAAAAGTTTCAACAAATCTATTTAATTTTTTGCATGCTTTGAAATTGGATTGTTATTTATATTTTCAAACAAAATCCCCCTTTTCGCAATGAAAGTACCTTACGCAAAAAAGTGTAAACCATTGGATCGACCAATGCTTGACTTGTACCACATTTTCAGTGCATTATTACAGTGTATTTGAAGTCTACTGTACTTGTATTATTTGTTGAGTTTGACTCTCTAACAATAGATGTTTTTGAAACGGCAAATCTAACCTACTCCTAAACTACACTTTAAATCCACCTATGTCCACGACGAGACTTGAACCCTCAACCTCAAGGAGGGAGGGCAACACCAGATACCGTTGGGCAGAAGCCCTTTGGTACTCTAACAATAGATATCCAAATTAATTTTGTTTTTCTATTTTTGGGTTAGGGATGTGGTTGAATGTGACTCATTTTGTTTAAAAGTTTTTATAAAATTCAATCTAGTTTAAGGGTTATATTTTACTTTTGAAGTCAATAAAAAAATAAAACGGACGCAAAATATAAGGAAAATATCTTCGTGTATGTTGTCATGTCCTTTAACTTCATATTTTTAGAAACTCGTTTATTTTTGTTTGTATTCTGCTTTATATTCTTAGAAATGGATAGTTACAGTTTTTATTGGATATGGATGATTTGGTAATTTCATCTCAGATATGTCTAAATTACTATTGATTTTTTGCCATTTTTTTTGGATTATGGATGATGTTGTGATGATCTATTGATGAACTAGTTTAAAGTTTTTTCTTAAATTTAAAATAGAATTAAAAATTCTATTTGTGTATTTCATTAGATTTTAAGGGATGTGGCTCATTCTGTTTAAAGGTTTTATAAAATATAATCTAGTTTAATGATCATATTTTGTTCTTAATGTCAATAAAAAGTATTTTAAAACGGGGAGAAATTATAAAGAAAATATATTGGCGTGTGTTGTCACATATTTTGGTTACTAAACACAATAAGCATTGTTTCTTTCTCTTCAACTTTATATTTTAGAAATTCGATTATTCTTCTCTCTGTCTTTATATTCTTAGAAATGGATAGTTAGAGTTTTCATTGGTTAGGTTGATTTGGTAATTTTATCTAAGAGATGAAAAATTACAATAGACTGTTTGCCTGTTTTTAGGTTACGAATGTTATTGTAATGATCCACCGGTAAACTACTCTAAAGATTATTCTTGAATTTAAATTTGGGAAATCTCCGATAAACTCCCAAAATTTTGGTTCAGTTTACGTTTTAGTCATTAATTAATTTTTGTTTACAAAAAAATCTTTAAAACTGACAAAAGTTTACATTCCGACCATTTTTGACCGGTTGGAACCGGTAGCAAATTAATTTTGGACTACTTTGTAAACTGGTCTAAAATATTATGATTTTTCTGCAAACACAAATATTAAAACTTTTCTGCAAACAAAAACCTTATTATTATTATTATTATTATTATATATATATTAAAGTTGTGGAAGAAAGGAATAGTAAGTTGACATACTTTGTCCAGCTTTGGCCCATTGATTTACATATCTGGTCCATGTACTTCTTTAATTAATTTATTCATGTCCTTTTGTTTGTGTTCCATTCAACTTCCCATTTTTTTTTGCAGAATTGGTCCCTGTATTATTGTTGGAAGTTAGGAATACTAAATTTGGATGTTTTTTTGACAACTTTGCTCATTATTCTTTACCCATTTTGACATTTTTGGTCCTTTCAATCAATATTTTTACACTTTTTTGGAACCTTTTAATATTTAAAGTTTGGCCACAAAACTTTAACGGTTTGACAACTTTGATCCCTTTTCTAAAAAGTTGTTAATTACTACCCCTTTAATTCTTTAGCCATTTTCACACTTTTGGTCATTGCAGTCAAAACTTTTACATTTTTTGTCCGGGGCAAAGCCCGTACTTTTCATCCTTGCACTTTCTATGTCTGTCATATTTATCAATTCGGAAACAACATTGAAAGCTTCTGGCCCCCGCGTAGCGGGGGAGCGGGGTAC